GGATTTTTTTATTCTTCTGTTATTGATTTAGTACCTCACCAAACCTCTCAATTCTCATGATACGAAGAAAGTGTACCATAGCTTTTCGGAACACAGATTTGTATTGTCCTTCTAGAGTTGTTTATCTTCTCTTTTTAACATGTGTCCAGTAAGAATTTTTTTTTTTCTTAAAGCTTAGACTAAAAGGCTTTAAGAGGCAAGGGCTGCAAACCCAACCTTATTCACCTGTCTGTCYCAGAGTTCAAATGCAGGCACGGACAGGGAAGTTGGGCCACACTGTGCCTGTGTTTCCAGGCAACCGTCATGTTAATCAGGAGCATCCAACTGTGCTTGATTATATCTAGTACTTGAAGCAGAAAAGGAACATAAAATAGTTACTCTGGGGAGCAGACTTGCAAAGTTTTATTTGGCTGCCTGGCTTCAGTGAGTAATGCTTTGATAAGGCAATATTCCTGTTTTCGTTGTTATCAATCTCCAGTATAAAGATTGGGCAAATAAAACATTCATGCCTGAGCTGGTATATTTGCATGGCAATTTTGCAAATCCAACCAGGGACACTTTGTTTTGTGAGCCTTTCTCTTTGTTTTATTTCTTACGAATTTATCTTMAGAGGTTGTATTTCTTTTTCTCAGAGCCATCAGAAACTGATAAGCTGTTTTGCCTTCTGCTCAGTAGGCTGCTTTCTAGCTAGCTGAGTCTTAAACTTAATTACAATTTCTGTGAGTGTGGATACCTTGATTGTCTGCTGTCAGTCAACAAATTCCTTGTACTTTCCTGCTTCCCAGTCTGTGAACCTCACAAACACATTGGATTTGAATCATGGGCATTGAGATTGGTGAATTTAGTATCCTTGACTCCCCTCTTCTATCGTTTGAGACCAAGTCAAATCTTGGTAATTTTCCTTGGTTTGCCACAGGTCTCAAAGCAGTCTCATGTGCTGTTCCTGGGGGTAAATCAGCCTTAAATGGACTTTAAATCCTTAAACGGACTTTTAAATCCTTAAGGATTCCAAAGCTCTGAGAGTGAAAATGGAATTCAGATTTCATTGGCCAATGATTATCTTTTGTTTGTTTGTCATCTAGATGATAAAGCATTTTGATCTAAAATGTTGCATACCTGGCTGTCACTAGATTCTTTTAAATACTGCATTGCTTTATCCTTTCCTAGTGTACCGTGATAGAGCTTTTTCAGCTGTATAACTCACGGAAATCAGTGAGATGCTGCCCTTGTGTTTTAATCAYGATGAACTTGAAAGGTGAACATTGTAAGTGATAGAAATTATTTATAATTTGGTAATAAAAGTTTATGTCTAGCACTCCARATTTCACACATCTGCTATATGCTGGCCTTGAGATATAGAACAATTGCAATTGCCTTTACATTTGGCCTCAGATGAAAGGTCATAAATTACAATGATAGAGTTCRTAGTCGTTCCCAGCTCACAAAATTTCCATATTAACATCTTCACCTCAAACATAAATGGCTACAGAGTTACAAAGAAAAGAGTTGTGTTGGCCTTTGTCAACTGAACTTTAAGATGGAAKTCTGTGGATCGTGTATTATTGCTAACTCTTAAACATAAAGCATCACAGAATCCTTGTTCAGAGGACCTAATTAAAACTTTACAGTTAACTTTAAAAATGAAATGGGATTTGACACTCTGTCTCTTTCTCACTCATACCAGTGCAATAAAACCCACTTCAAAGTTACTAAGGTTTTTCTCTCCCAGCCACTTGAAATAAAAGCATTTTCAGAGTGAAATGACTGCAGAACAGAGAATGGGTCAGAAGGAGTGTCCTGTTTTTCCTTCTTGTGAATCACATCGTTCGTATAAGTTAAGTGCAGATGAACAACAATCCAGATGGCARAAGAATATCTGTGGCACATTTTGAAATTGTTCAGCCTGAACAATCCCCAGCTACAACCAGTAGATGAACAAAAGCCACAGTCTTTAAACAGTCCTCACCTGAAACTTGTGTTGGAGAGGACAAATCTATTGTGGCCCAAAGTGCAGCACACCACATCATTTTAACAATTAACTTCGATGCCTTTTTGGGTTAGAATTTTTTTTTTAATTATGTAATAAAATAAGAGGCCAAGATGAAGTCCCAAATCCAGGGAAACTTTTCTTGTTCAGAGCTTCCGAGAATGGGGAGGCAGAACAAGGTATCAGCCTCCATGAAATAGTGCTGAGGTGGGRAAGCTCTGCAATTCAAGGGTAGCASTGSTATTGCGGGGTTTCCTGAAKGCCCTGAKGTAAACACAGTAGTACATTTTTGGAGTTGAAGAGGTGGAAGGCAAAATTCTGCTCTCACTGAAGCCAGCAGAAGATTTGCCAATTACTTCTGTGTACTAGGGATGCATCTGTAAGTTACTGAAAATACATCTGAGGTCTCAAAACCTTCCTTCTGGAACTGTGTACTGTCAAAACCTTCCTTCTGGAACTGTGTTCTGTCAAAACCTTCCTTCTGGAGCTGTGTTTTTTTGCTGTGATTTGTGCTTCCTAGAACTTTTCTTATGATGTTGAGTCTGAGGAATAGTACATTAAGGAATTGAAGGGTGCAGAAGAAAGAAGCAAGAGAAAGAAAGGAAGTATTGGGACCTTCCTTTGGAAGTATTGGGACCTTCCTTCCTTTCCTCTTCTGCAAACTTTGTGGTGAACAAGGAACTGTCAGGAGGGAGCTGAGGAGAATAATCTAACAATTCAGCCTGAGGCTTTCTCTCTGTCTCCTACACTTCCAGTTCCATACAAGAGAAAAGGGTCATCCTCAGAAGCTTTCAGAGTTCCCTTAACCCTCTCCGAGTTCCTGGGAGTGGTCTCTTTGGCTCCCCTTGGGACCAGCTTTTTCATGAGCTTTAAGAGGTGTGATACTCCCCTTTGCATGCATTTGGATGGGAGAACTCAAGCCTTTCAGCATTTGAATGATAGTCTGTGCCTATACACTAAAACTTCAAAGATGTTTTTCTCCATAAACAGAGGCTTAGTTATCCAGCATTATTTTCCATGCTGTGCTAAGATCATCAGAACGACTGATATCCTGCCATGTTCTCAATTAAAAAGTTAATGCATTTTCAAGTGGAACCTTACTCAAAATAAGTATTGGGTTTGTGCTATAGATTTTAGATAGAAGAGCCTAACAAAACTCTGTTGCCTTCAACTTCTTACGCTCTGCTCATCACCTTGGGATGTTCATCTCCTCCTATATGGCTTAAGTGACATGATGACCTTTTGTAACACGTTTGTCTCTCCTACTTTCTGTCCAGTAAAAATATAGTGTGACAGATCATGTCAGACTTGTGCTTTCTATTAAGTAAAAGCTTGAAGCCCCAGTTGGTTCATTTTTGCACCACTTAGCTAGATTTTTTTTCTAAAATATGATGGAATTGGAACAAAGCCTTTTGCGCTTAGGTTTTATAGAAAACACACGTTCTTTATTTTTTCCTGGTGGAATATCAATTCCAGGTAACATTTCAATGTCAACTTTTCCATAGCTGCTTTGATGAAGCTGATTCAGTGCTTCAGGTTGAAAACTCTGGTAAAGTTTAAGCACAGACACGAGTTGGAGTGGTCACTTTAAATTGACCAGCTGGTGCAAAACATCTSCAAAGTTAGTTCCCAGCTCCCCAGAAATGCTTCTGATGCAGACTTGGGGATATGAAGTAAACATGAGTCAGATCTAATTTGTAGTTTGGTAAGAACAATACATAYCTTGTCCTGAATTTAAGGACAAGAAGGAACATTAAAGGGTGTTCAGCCACTTTAAGTATTTAAAATAATGGGAATTATGTTATAATCACTGTGGGCCTTTACTAAGAGGAAAGTTCCATTTATTTAGAAATAAAATRTGATTTAATGTCAATGTTAGGTCACTCCTGGAGCATTTGAGAACTGGTGTTTTCCAATGGGCCCCAGTTTTTGGCCATTGACTAAAAAGTCATTATTTCTGATGTTAAAGGAATGAAATAGAATGTGATTCTTTTGTAATGTAACAACAAAAAATGGGTAAAATCAAAAGGGAGGACTAGAAGCTGTATAWATGTGAAATAAACTGTTTTGTTAGGAATAGAACAATAGCATAAAGTTCCACATTAAGTCGAAA